GGAAGAGTAGACCGCAGAGACGCAAACGAAACAGCTTCAGGGCCGTCGAACGTTTTCTTCTGGTGAGTAGGCGTGACGTCGGAAAAAGTGGAGGTCAGGGAACCGCGGAATGTCGACGGGCCGAAGGCTACCTCCATAGACGCGTCCGCAGGTGCTGATGGACAGAAAGACTGTAGGACAGCGGACAGCGACGGGTTTCAGTTTGAACATCGCCGGGATTGACTACCCCATAATCACACGACGTCCTTAAAGTTTCTTTAAATAAATTACCAAATATGTACCTATTTTTGGACCACCCGTATGTCACGTATCCATGCTTACGTGTGTACCGGATGGAATCGGCGCGTTCGTACGTGAAAGTTGGTATCAGCACCTTCCGTTATGTTGCTACAGTGCAACGCCGAAGATTTCTTTTACAGTGCAGAGGTTGTTTTCTTGTTACTTCATGCACTTGTACACATACTTTCGAATAAAAGTAACTTCGAAATTTTAAATTTTTAAACCACAGAGGTAATTTTATGTATTGCCTGATTTAATTTTCAGTTACTCTGTATTTCGCCCATAGAATGTGTTTATGAGCTATGTTTTGTTCTCAGAATGAATAGTTTTCTTTAGCACTATTAACAGACTGATCTTTGTAATATGCCAGGAGGCAAGAAAATCAAAACATTATTCTTACCCTTCCGCTGTGTATTTCAACTTCGATATGTCCTGTGACCTGCTATCTCGAAACGGGTTTTCTTTGTTTTCTTCCGTCTTAAGGCAAATGTTGAGGTTGTTCCCCAGATCCACGTTGTTAACTATTGGGGAGTGGATGTATAGACCCACGTTCTCTTGAACTCGGCACTGGTTGGAGATGAGTGGTCAGCTTCACGCCCCGGCCGCTTTACCACCGGGTAAAGAGACACCGGTATCCATTGGATAGGAGGTTTGGTGAAGCCCAGAGCCGGTCTGGACGACATGGAGAAGTGAAAATTCTTGACCCTACGCGGACTCGAACTCCGACCCCTATGTAGTCCATCCGGTAGCTAGTCGCTATACCGACTGAGCTATGCCAGCTCAACAAATGTGTGTACTTGAATTACTGGAAGTTTTTTGGAAGTACTTTTTGTAGAACTGAATTAGCTTTTGACACACAGTACTGTTGGCCAGAGAAGTATCATCATCATCATCATCATCATCTTCTTCTTCTTCTTCTTCTTCTTCTTCTTCTGTTGTTCCCTCTTGGAGCATAGGGTATCCGTGAAAATCTTCATTTCAATTCAGTTTCTTAATCTTAGACAGTTGGTAGGACTCCTTGGACGGGGACTCAGCCCGTCGCAAAGCCGCTACCTAACACGAATAGAATAAATGCAGACAAACGTCCATGCCTAGAGTGGGATTCGAACCCAGATCCCAGTGTTGGAGCGAGCGAAGACATTCCATACCTTAGACCGCGCGTCCACTGTGACCGGCCCAGACGGCACCAATTCTGGAAAATTAACTGCGGTGTTGCCTACTTACGAATGTATCTGTTTCTGTCTTTCTGTTATATTACCCTTACCAGAAGAGTTAGTGGGCAGTGCTTTGGAGCTCTCAGGCCCCCACTTTACCTGAGATTTATCTGTACTTCTCCTCCCTTCTTATTGATACTTCAGAACAGTTCTAACCTGTCGGAGCTTTTAATTACACCTTTCGTTTGAAATCACCTGTACTCACAGGAGAACGTCGGTCCATCGCAATGTTTTTCTTTATAATAAGATTTCAGGTACCTCATTTACCTTAGTGATGTCATCTGAACTCTTCCAATTACTGTCCGAGATGAGCGTAACAGACAAACGGAGTCCTTGTCCCTCCTTTAGTGCAGCTGCGTTGTTCCAGACACAGAATCTTAATCATGCACAGAACTCTGTTCGAAAATTGGTTCGTTACTTCATTTTAACAAGTTTCTTCTCTTCTCGCTTGTTTCGCTATAAAATTAGATTCGAATTTAAGACAATGGGCGATAATGATCTCACGGTAAATATTGTGTAGTGTCACTGTATAACATGGCAGCGGTAACGTTAAAATACATGCAGAGCCTTGCATCAGTATGGACTGTGAGCGTTTAGACAATGGAATATGGCCATGGATGATGAAGTATCTGGAGTAAGCAGTCGCGGATAATATTTATGAATCTGTGGTATGTATACTTATTGCTAGGCAACGACTCGGTAAACATGTGCCCGCGGTAAGCGCGCCTCAGCAATAGAGAGGCAGTTTTTTGTGTTGTCAGCTCCGCTACCGTTGCTATACCCGCCTAAACAATACGGGACAATAGAAGACGGTGTTTTCCGTGGGGTCCATGCAAAGTGGTTATAGAGAAAGAGTTCAGTTAAGCAGCAGACAGTGAAGAATCGAGTTTCGAGACGCCAGCCTACCGAGATATGAGTTTGAGAGCAGAGGAATCGAATTCAGTCGAGTCTTCGGAATTAGCAGCTGCAGAATAATGGCAAGAAGGGAATTAGGATGTGAGACGAAGTCTTCATGTGTGATTTGAAGTGACAGAGCCTTATAAATCCGTTGCCAGGATACGGTTAGTGAAGAGTGAGAACTCTAGTGTGTGTGCAACCGTGAACTGGAAAGTGTGTAGATCAGCGATAGCGCTGTATTACTTATACGTAGTTCCGAGTACTGTGTATAAGGTGTCAATAAATTCTATCATCCATTCCAAATCCTGTCTTATAAGTCACGCACGTACAAACCCCTACAGGGGACAGTACTGTCAGGATGTTCGCGTAGAGAAACTGAAGAAGATGGCGAAAAGCCTTGGTTACATTTAGGTGTGTAACTTGACGCGGAATGGGCCGGGGGGATATGTGGGTACAAGTCTGTAGCGGTACCATCACCTCATGCTTCTTCTATTGCTTCTCCTCGTAACAGTCATTATTAGTATTATTATTATTATTGAAGGAGGTGGGTTTCCCAATGAACCGCGACCAGTTGTTGATCTATTGTACGTCACCCTTTGATATTCTACCAGTCTCCATACCCTACCGATACTGGTGCGTGCTATCAGCCCCGTTGAGCCAACGAGGTCGGCCCTCGGTACCTTGATACTTCCCCCATCTGCCAGAGGCATTGGAAACTACTTTGGACGGGAAACTTGTTACCTAATTTAGCTCAGAGGTCTCCTAGAGACATGAGGTTCTTTTACGTGCCGTAAATCTACGACACGGGACCCACGGCTTAAAGTTCCTCCTGGAGGACTTGTTCCCTGAATTTTTCCGCCCTTAAAAATTCGACGACCTCCGCCGGGTTTGAACCCACGTACCTTGAGTCATGAGGTGGGAATGTTACCCCTAGACTACGGAGGCCGCTAGTTTAGTGTTTATATCCGAGGGCAATTCTGAAACCATGAATCCTGTAGATATTATCACGTAGAAGTGGTAGATAAGTAAAGGTATCCCTGTAACAGGCCGTGAAGGCCCATAGGGTTGTGAGACATTGAGGCTCCTACATTTTCTAGACAATCGGCTCACAAATGGCGGTGAGGTTGTCAGCCTTACGCACCGGCCGCCTTTTACCCTCAAGAATATTCCTGGTACTCATTTCTGTTAGAGGCTGAGTCGACCCCAGGGCCATAGTGCGGCTGGAAGGATTAGGTAAATTGGAAAAATCCATGTAAGATTTGAGGCTTTCACGGCGGTGACTATGAAGAAAGCAGTCTTCTGGGATTTGGCACCGTGTATATGTGGTGTTAACCGACGTTTCGGAGGAACGTATCGCCTCCATCTTCAGGGTAGAAGAAAAAATATAAGAATTCTGCAAGCGGAGAGACCGTGAGAACCGGTAAAAGCTTTTACCACATATACACGGTGCCAAATCCCAGAAGACTGCTTTCTTCATGGAAAAATCCACATCGGGATTCGATCCCGCGACCTTCCGGCTTGTAGCATAGTTCCTCAATCAACTACGCTACCGCATACCCCCCGTAGAAGGGGTAGCATGGCTAATAATTTTTGGGGTGTAGATTTGATGATTGGATTTATTGGACGTGTCTTATTACACTTACAGTTGATTATAACAGTTCACACATTGAAATCCTTCATAACGAATCTCTCACTGTATTTCTTCCGTTTCTCGGACTGGTCTCTAGTCTCTAGTCTTCTAATACTCAGTACGACTCATGGCTTTTCGGCTACGACTCACTCAGTTTCAAAGTCAAAGTCAAAATCACATTGCGACTGACGGTCAGTCAGTCAGTAAGTCTTTGAGGCTGATGATCAGATATTTATTACTGTTTGACAGTTACGGTCTTGTGTTTGTGGGGCGCCCTCTCTGACGAGAGGACGGGTCTTTTTTTTTATATGCTGCTTGCCCTTGCCAGCGCAGTATTTCTCGGGTCCGAGTCCCTTGGGAGTCGCAACCATATTTTACTGTCTCAGATTTGAGACTGACTCAGTTTTGCTTTGCAGGGTCGCTTATATAGCGTTTCGGTATCCGTTATTGATTACGCATATCCAAGGAGATGATTTATGTAGCACCTAGCTATGAATTGTGTTTCGTCCGTTGCTGCGAAACGTAACGCTGTCCCACTGTTAATTGCGTAACCATTGCCACGGTAATGCATGTTCACCAAAATCCGTTGTCCAGCAACGATCTCTTCTGCGTTGCCAGGGGAATGTTCTCAGCGAAGCGCCGCCCAGCAGGCGGTCATATTCCGGCTTTCAGGCGTCATGTCACAATATGGTGGAGGCACCTTAGACTGAAGGTCATCAAATCTTAGGGTCTGTATCTGCACAGGAATGAAGAGCAGTGGAGACTGGTTGTAGAGGAGGCCGATGCTCAGCCAGGGCTGCAGCCCTGTGAAATGTATCGATGTCCCTGCAGGATTTCAACCCGCTATCCTAGGCAGGACGCGCAATGGGCGGCGCGGTTGCTGTAGGTTGTCAGTATTTTGTTATAAACTTATAAAATATTATTGTTAGACCCCCATGCACATTCTTATCCCTTTATAATGACGCATTGTAATATTTCAGGTGTTTCTGCGGGTGCGGTGACGTGGGTGTGAGCAACAAGTCATCCCGATGACGGCACGACGGAGCGTCACGCCGCGTCACGCGCCCGACGCTGTGTTTAAACAGGTGAGAAATCTAATGTAGCATTATAGGGGATAATAGTATTTTGTTTTACAGATGGAAGAATTGAGTGCCTGTGCTGTCGTCACAATCTTTAGCGTTTCCTTGGTCCTTCTGCTACCGCTCACTCTGTAGGTTTGTATTCCCTCATTCCATCATAGTCATTTCCTTCATGCATGTTGTAATCGCGTCGGTCTTATTTCTGGCCTCTCACTTGACCTTTTTGTTTAATTGTGTTTATCTTGATTAGGTCTAGTGGGAAAAATACGTATAATCTTTTAGACGCTAGATAACTTGTATATAAATAGTTTATACAGTACAAAGAATTCAGGGTGTTCACACTTGTAATTTATTTATGAAAATTAATTAATATATGGATAATTGAAAGGGGAACAACAACAAACTACAAATAAAAATTACGCAAGATACTGTAAATGTCTGTTGTTTGGTACGCATGCATGACCCTTCAATAAAATTTACATTCACACCTCAAAGTTCTTTCTCGGTGATTAAAGTTGAAACTTAACTTGAAACCCTCGAACGAGTTTAGAGATCATTCAAGCCTATCATCGATTTCGTCCAGTCCTTCAGTGAACACTGGATGTTTAACGTATCTTTTTATCTGTAATGATGAAGTCAGTGTTATGCTTGTACATTCTCCTGATAACAGCAACAGCATTTGATGTATTCTGGGTGGGTTCTGTATTTATAAAACGCTTAGGTATGTTTACGCTCCGTGCCAGTTGGAACGAGTTCGCAGGAACGCCAATGAAGGCGCCACTTGAAAGCTTTATTACGAGAGCTGCTTACAGGGGATACACGCGAAGCAATTAGCTGAAGAGAACATACGAGTATATGATTGTAGAACTCAGCGGTAGCGTTCGAGTCAGTGAGCGCCGAATGTAAATGACCATCTGGAAGTGGTCCACACTAAACTTCCGAATACACGACCGGATTTACTGTTTGGTCTCACCGCTGGATCCAGGCGAAGCAAATAAGTCAGGATATAGAGGACTTCGTATTTTCGATTCTACTGAAGCAACAGCAATGCGACTTGGAAACCAATCATACAAAGGGTGTATGGCCGAAGTAATGCAAGGTCTGGAGGAGATGCTACAGGTTAGCTCATTTGCTGAGCCGTGTAAACGAATGCATCAGATGAAAGTGAAATGTATAAAAGAATAAATAAAAAGGTGTGGATATTTAATTAATAAATTTGAAGATCTGCTAGATCGCCGCATGTTACGACGGGCATAGCTAGTTTATTTGTAATTTGTTGGGCTATGGGCTTGCCGATCCCTCTATCAGTCTGCTGGACTGGAGGAGCGTTGATGTTTTCTGGGCGGTTCGACTCTTTTGTGTGATACTCTAAGGTGACTGCGTTGTAAAATGTTACTTGTGAGATTTGAGGTCTTTATGGCGGTGACTATGAAGAATTCCGTCTCCTGGGATCTAGCGTCGTGTAGATATTGTGTAAACCGACGTTTCGGAGACTGCAGACTCAGTCTGCAGCCACCTGCTCACGCTGGTTCCTCGCTCGCTTGTTTTCTTCTATTCTGAAGACTGAGGCGATACGTTACACAATATAGACACTGCGCCACATCCGAGAAGATGGTATTCTTAAAACATGTTACTTCTTTTGCATGGATGTTTGGACTCTTGTCCCAGGGATTACGCCACCTCATTCTCTTTACATACTGTTCTCCAGTTTCCTGCATATGAAATATAATATTACAATTAGACGTGAAGATTCCTGATCTAGTTATATAACTGATACTTGCTGTCGGTGTCGGGTGTCTGCTATTTCAGAAGAAATGTACGGGTTTATTAAGTTTGTGTTAGAAATACGTAATACACTTTCTTTTGAAGAATCACCTGACGGTAAGATGGTAACGCCACCTACGTTGCTTGCCTGCAAGGTATCTGTATCATTTCTTATTATTGCTTTGTAAATGCGGAAAGAGAGACAAAATCAATACATTCACCTTGCTTCGATCTGGAGAACGGTAACTCGAATTACGGAATGTTTGCTCTGTCTTTCTGAACTTCTTTTTCTACTCCGCTTTTAAACCATAAATATCTTACAATATTTTCCTATACGGTCTTACCATGATTATAATTTGAAGTTATTTTTAGCAATATTAAGGCGTATAAGAGACGTGGCGGTAATATTTCACGGACTTATAAATCTTGCCAGTAGATGGAGGTGGGAGAGTAGTTCTGTCTCTTTCTGCTTTTTACCCCCCTGGACATGTGAAAGTATCGGCTGCCCATGATCTAATTGTCGGTGAGTAGAAACGCTAGTTGCAAAAAAGGGCCCAGGGGCAGAGGATTGGAGGCGCGATGTAGCCCCTACCTTCTGTACGCTGGGCGCAATATTTTCATTGCTATTCATTCATCCTTCCATCTTTACAATCTGGTCCCTTTTGTCTATTAGTCAGTCATAATACATATAGTCATTCTTCCAGTCCACTCATGAATCTTGTCTATTGACCTGCGCAAATCATTTTATCAATTCATTCAGTCACGGTTATTCCATCTGTGCATCCTTCCAGTCATCTAAACAAAATAAAACAGTAAATACTCAAAAACACTTAAGTCATGTTTGATCACGTTGCCTAGAGAGAGCGTTCCCCATTTTATCCGCACAAGTTGTGTCTTTGAAGGTGAAGTCCCTGCGCTTAATTAGGGATCACACCACATAGACGCATGGAGGAGCATACTATTGTCTCGGCACCAGACGGAAGTGAGTGGTCAGCCTCACCTCCCAGTCTCATAGTCCCAGAGAAAGAATTCCCGATGTCCCTTGGATAGGAGTCTGGGTCTGTCTCATAGCCGACTTTGAGGCTGTGAAGAAGAGAAAGATTTCTTACCTGTGGCCATCTCGCTCCTACCACGTCGCTATACCATCTGTGTTGTCCATGGATGAAGAACTCTGTTTAGGTCTGCATGGTCTCATTGCAGCGTTATGTCAGTGGGCTGCGTTTAAAAACAGAAAGAACCAATCAATGCCGATAACAAGCTGCAGAGATCAGAGGGCCTGCGGTTCGAATGTGGCAGGCGGCCCGAATCAAAGGGCCCTCTAATCCAGGTTAATTAGATTAACAGTGATGCAATATGGCGCAACACAAATATGGCTACTAGACAGTTTTTCTCCAAATACTCTAAGCAAAATGCATGATGGACTTCCGCGGCTTTATATTTACGGCTTGGTTCTGTTATGAGAGTTTTAATGCATTCTTTTGTCCCTTTCGAAACTTGAACTAGCAATTTTTTGGGGCCAGGACGCACTGAAAGAAGGGAAATGAGAGAATCGAAAGAGGAGAATGAGTAAAAAGAGAAGAAAATGAGGAAGAAGAAAAAAATGAAGTGAATAAGAGAAGGACTTTGCCCCATGAGAGATAACAGAAAAATCTGTTAAGCGAATGCACCTCCACATTCCTCTGAAGTTCGCGTGCTGGTAATTTGAAAACTGTTATGTCTTGTTCTAGGGCAAGAGAAAGCAGCGTTGTTGATGGGACCCGCCCAGGCTGCCCAGTATAGTGATGTAACCTACAGCTCCAATATGATTAGTTACGCATCTGTTTCGCATTATCGTCAGAGAGGTTATTGGAATGATTTCATATAGTAAAATTACAGCTCTCGCATAAACTTGTCTCTGTGCTCGTAATAAAGTTTTGTAACCTTGACATACTCGTCAGAGATAAAGCCCAATTTACCATTCATACTCTAGTATTATGTTCAAGCCGTCTGTACGAATATATGTGCGCACACGTCAGAGTCCTAGAAACTGACATGGAGAGCCTAATTTTGTATCTGTTCGGTTTAATGTGTGGAAAAAAATTGGTTTGCATTTTCCGTTCTTCACTCACGCTCTGCGGAGACTTAGGTCCTGCACCACCATCGCGATGTGTCAGAGAAGTTGCCGAATATATATAAAAAGGATGAACGATCCTCAGATCGCTGTAATTTATAACAGAAATAAATAAATAATGAAACGAAGAAAGTACGTGTATGACATTTCCTCTGTTCCTAAGCGCCAGATAATGAAGGCATTACCGGAAGTGGAGATAAAATTCTAACAGTTGGCTCTAGACGGATGTGTGTGGTAGCCGACTCACCAGTCGCTTTACCCCCTAGCAGAGATCGGCTTTTACCCATTGAGTAGGAGGTTGTGTGGGCCTCGATGCACGTGTGGACATGGCGGCAAAGATAATGTCACGTGTTAGGGTCGTGATTGTTAGACTGGGTATAGATTGGATGATTGAATTTATTGATACCTTATACATAACCCTCGGAACTACAGCGCTATCGCAGATCTACACACTTTACAGTTCACTGCTTCAAACACTAGTGCCCTCAGACTATTACAGTCTCCACTGTCCGTTTCCTGGCAAAGGATTTTAGCACAGGAACTATAACAGTCTCACTTAATTAGACTCACCAAATATCGCGGTACTGTAACACACGTAAAGTCTTCTCTTTACAGCCAGAGTTTCAACTCCACTGAACTGCACTTAATAATTCTGATGCCTCAGTTTGTCAGTTCAGCTCCTCTGCTCGCAGGCTCATATCCTGGCAGGCTGGCGTCTCGAAACTCAACTCATTGCCATTTCTTGTCAGTCATTTTCGACTTCCATCTCAGGAGTCCCTCAATTCTGTGTCTGCCGGCCTTGGATCCTCGTTATATAGCCTGGGGACGGCCTCAACAGAAGACACTGCTTCCCAACAATTCCTCTGTTGTTACAGAGGCGTGTTTACCTCGCTATTGCATAGGAACTGTAGTTTTTCTATTTCTTGCGTGTTTATTTCCGCGGGAACCTGTTTACCGAGTCGTTGCCCGGCAGTGAACGTCTACTCTGGCTCCGCTATTCCGGATTTCAGGTGCCATGTCCAAATAATATATCCCTGCTCCAGCAGACGGGAACTTCGGTCGTCCATTTTCTGTCCATCCACACTACTGACTGAGGTATCGCCTATAATAAGTAAACAAATAAACTAAGAAA